TCTAAGGACTTATATGCATGCATATAAGCATAACCAATGGATACAAGACACGGGGGGGTGGGGGGCGGTAAGGGAGGCCGAGGGAAGGTCAATGGGGAAAAAAAGGAGACATATATACTACTACTTGTAATACTTTAAACAAGAAAATAAAATTTTAAAAAAAAGAAAAAATGCTGCCAACTTTAATCCAAAGTGTCACTGACTGTCAAGAAGAAACCTGATGTTAAAATGTGAAAAATAGCCCTACCCTGTTTGGCTCAATGGATAGAGTGTCAGCCTGCGGACCCAAAGGGTCCTGGTTTCAATTCCCACCAAGGGCACATACCTCAGTACAGACTCCTCCCTGGTGAGGCCCTGGTAGGGCACATGCAGGAGGCAACCAATCAGTGTGTTTCTCTCACATCAATATTTCTCTCTGTCTTTCCCTCTCTCCTCCACTCTCTCCCCCTGAAAATCAATGGAAAAATATCCTCAGGTAAGGATTTTTTTTAAATTTTAAATGTGAAAAATGTGAGTCTTAGAATCAGTAAAATATGAAATAGCCCTTGGAGATCTCCTAGGCCCGTGGTCGGCAAACCGTGGCTCATGAGCCACATGCGGCTCTTTGGTCCCTTGAGTGTGGCTCTTCCACAAAATACTGGCTCTTCCACAAAATACTGGCTCTTCCACAAAATACTGGCTCTTCCACAAAATACTGGCTCTTCCACAAAATACTGGCTCTTCCACAAAATACTGGCTCTTCCACAAAATACTGGCTCTTCCACAAAATACTGGCTCTTCCACAAAATACTGGCTCTTCCACAAAATACTGGCTCTTCCACAAAATACTGGCTCTTCCACAAAATACTGGCTCTTCCACAAAATACTGGCTCTTCCACAAAATACTGGCTCTTCCACAAAATACTGGCTCTTCCACAAAATACTGGCTCTTCCACAAAATACTGGCTCTTCCACAAAATACTGGCTCTTCCACAAAATACTGGCTCTTCCACAAAATACTGGCTCTTCCACAAAATACTGGCTCTTCCACAAAATACTGGCTCTTCCACAAAATACTGGCTCTTCCACAAAATACTGGCTCTTCCACAAAATACTGGCTCTTCCACAAAATACTGGCTCTTCCACAAAATACTGGCTCTTCCACAAAATACTGGCTCTTCCACAAAATACTGGCTCTTCCACAAAATACTGGCTCTTCCACAAAATACTGGCTCTTCCACAAAATACTGGCTCTTCCACAAAATACTGGCTCTTCCACAAAATACTGGCTCTTCCACAAAATACTGGCTCTTCCACAAAATACTGGCTCTTCCACAAAATACTGGCTCTTCCACAAAATACTGGCTCTTCCACAAAATACTGGCTCTTCCACAAAATACTGGCTCTTCCACAAAATACTGGCTCTTCCACAAAATACTGGCTCTTCCACAAAATACTGGCTCTTCCACAAAATACTGGCTCTTCCACAAAATACTGGCTCTTCCACAAAATACTGGCTCTTCCACAAAATACTGGCTCTTCCACAAAATACTGGCTCTTCCACAAAATACTGGCTCTTCCACAAAATACTGGCTCTTCCACAAAATACTGGCTCTTCCACAAAATACTGGCTCTTCCACAAAATACTGGCTCTTCCACAAAATACTGGCTCTTCCACAAAATACTGGCTCTTCCACAAAATACTGGCTCTTCCACAAAATACTGGCTCTTCCACAAAATACTGGCTCTTCCACAAAATACTGGCTCTTCCACAAAATACTGGCTCTTCCACAAAATACTGGCTCTTCCACAAAATACTGGCTCTTCCACAAAATACTGGCTCTTCCACAAAATACTGGCTCTTCCACAAAATACTGGCTCTTCCACAAAATACTGGCTCTTCCACAAAATACTGGCTCTTCCACAAAATACTGGCTCTTCCACAAAATACTGGCTCTTCCACAAAATACTGGCTCTTCCACAAAATACTGGCTCTTCCACAAAATACTGGCTCTTCCACAAAATACTGGCTCTTCCACAAAATACTGGCTCTTCCACAAAATACTGGCTCTTCCACAAAATACTGGCTCTTCCACAAAATACTGGCTCTTCCACAAAATACTGGCTCTTCCACAAAATACTGGCTCTTCCACAAAATACTGGCTCTTCCACAAAATACTGGCTCTTCCACAAAATACTGGCTCTTCCACAAAATACTGGCTCTTCCACAAAATACTGGCTCTTCCACAAAATACTGGCTCTTCCACAAAATACTGGCTCTTCCACAAAATACTGGCTCTTCCACAAAATACTGGCTCTTCCACAAAATACTGGCTCTTCCACAAAATACTGGCTCTTCCACAAAATACTGGCTCTTCCACAAAATACTGGCTCTTCCACAAAATACTGGCTCTTCCACAAAATACCGACTTTTGCGCATGGGCCACGAAGTTTCAATCGCACTGTACGTGCGCGCCTGCACGTGGTATTTTGTGGAAGAGCCACACTCAAGGGGCCAAAGAGCCGCATGAGGCTCACGAGCCGCGGTTTGCCAAGCCGCAGTTTGCCGACCACTGGTAACCTAGGCTAAAAGCATGCTTTGAGAAATGAGGAAATTCTAGCTCTGGAAAGGCAAACCATCTACTTAAGGTCATAGGCCTAGTTAGTGACAGAATTGGAACCCAGTAGGAATCCCCCTACCTAGATCAGAGTTCATGGTGATAGAGAATGTCATGCATCAGAGATAGTGCTCAGAGTTAACCTGGAGGTTCCTTTCAACTCTGAGAACATGACGTGCACAAATGTACGAATCATCCTCAGATAAATCAGAAAATGCTACATTGGACAGAATTATAACATTTACTAAAAAAGGTCCCCATATCAAGTATCGGTTCCTATTACAGATTTCCAGTGTCTATAATAGTGCCTAGATGGTATATTTATGGGCACATTGTAGGTTCTCAAAAATATTAGATGGGCATATCTGGTTCAACGACTATCTCGATGACTTTGGGCCAGTTACTTCATCACTCTGGAGTCTGCTTCTTCAGTCACAAAGTGGACAGACTAATATCCATCTCTCAGATGCCAGTAAGGGTCAAGTGAGATGGATCTATAAGTATGCCTGGCACAGTAGCTGGTCAATAATAGGAACATCAATGTTAGTTTCCTCTACCTCTTAAGTTATTGTTAGATTCAAAGTTGTTTAAATGCCAATATCATGAAGCCATTCAGAAAAACCTATATTCCTATTTTCTAGTACTCTAGACTTACACAGTCCAATACGGCAGCCACCAGCCCCATGTGGCTATTGAAATGTATCATTAAATTAAAATTTCAAATTAATTTCCTTGACCGCATTAGCCCCATTTCAAGGGTTCAACATCCATATGTGGCTATCCAATTGGATAGCATAGGCACAGAACACTTCCACCATCGCAGAAACTTCTATCAGACAGTGCAGCTCTTCACTAACAAGAGTACAATAGTGCTCATGGTTTTTCTTCTCAAACCCAAGTAAAGATCATCCCAAACCTTTTAAACAAAACCTCACTTGATAAATGTATTTGTGCGCCCTCCTGTGGCTAGAGATGAAAACTAGTCCTGTGTCTGCAATGAAGCGGCACATTTCTTAACCAGGATAGTTCAGAAATCTTTAGTAATCTGACGGCTAGAAAAAGTAACATAAAACACACGTATATGCATTTTGAATTATCTAGAGACTACTAAGGAAAATCTCTTTGAGAAGGTCTGATAGCGTAATCACAGTATTCCTAAATCTCAGTATTTTTTTAACTACCCACATTTGCGGACACTCCCTGTTTAAACAAAGGACAATACTGTATAACTGTTTCAGTGAGGAGAGACAAGCAGGATTATTCGATGAATGATCCCAGGCGCTCTCAGTGACAGCTGGCAATAAACGAGCTGGAACGTGTGGCTCCCCAGTGCGGATGGGAGGAGTGTGCGTGCCTACCAAACTCAGACTCAACTTCCCACTGAAGGGGCGCCGGTTTGTGGGTGCCAGGCATGTGGTCTTTCCCAGCTGGCACCCAAGCTCAGCCTACTTGGTTTCAGATCCCAAAAGTGTATTCCCCATCTCTTCGCTCAGCATGCCAGGCAGTTCTCACGCTTGCACAATAAAACCCGAGACCAGTGGCGACAGGTGGGGCCTCCCCTGGAGCAGTTGACGCCAGAGTTCAGCAGCCTTGCCCAAGCACCCTCGACACTGGATGCACAGAGCCTCACCAGTGATACTCCTGGTGTGGAAAAGAAAAAAATTAAACTCTTTAGAAAGACTTACTTTTACTGAAGACAACATTAATATTGCAGTTCTACCCCCTCCCCTACTCCCCCCAAAAGTGACAGAGCTTCTAGGTTGGTAAACACATGGAGATGCTGGGAGGGTTTCCCTCTGGGAGAGGGCATGGAAGCTCCAGGCCCCTTTCCCCACACCTTGCCCTACATGTCTCTTCCACCTGACTGTTCCTGAGTTTTATCTTTTTCTAATAAAATAGCAATCTATAACAGATTATTCCTATACTCAGCTAGCAGTTTCAAATTATACAAAAGCGTGGAAAACTCTCTAATTCATTTTATGAGGACAATGCAACCCTGAAATCCAATCTTAAAGACTATAGCGGAAGAAAAGAGAGACCAGAAAAACCAAGGTGCTAGATGAAAAACTATAAATAAAATAATAGTTAATAGCAAGCAGAACTCAATACATGAATAGAATCATTCACCATGACCAAGTAGGATTTAGCTCAGGAATGCGAAGACTTTTGTTTTTGAGATCATTTTATTTAAAAAGAAATAAAATCTTTTAGATTTAAAAAATCAGAAAACACAGGGAAGTATTTTAAAACGGATCATCCAGTGCACCTAGAGAGTATTATGTTAAGTGGAATAAATCAGTCAGAGAAAGACAAATGCCATATGATTTCACTTATATGTGGACTCTAAAGAACAATATAAATGAACAAACAAAAGAGAAGCAGGCTCATAGACACAGAGAACAGACTGATGGTTGCCAGAAGGGAGGGGGCTGGGGGTCTGGGTTAAAAAGGTGAAGGGATTGAGAAGTACAGATTGGCAGTTACAAAATAGTCATGGGAATGTAAAGTACAGCATAGGAAATATAGTCAATAATGTAATAACAATGTACAGTGCCAGGTGGGTACTGGAAATATCAGGGGGAACACTTTGTAAAGTATATGATTGTCTGACCACTATGTTGTATACCTGAAACTATATAAAATAATATTGAATGTTGACTGTAATTGAAAAATGTTTAATTTAAAAAAGGAAGAAGCCAAAACCGGTTTGGCTCAGTGGATAGAGCATCGGCCTGCGGACTGAAAGGTCCCAGGTTCGATTCCGGTCAAGGGCATGTACCTTGGTTGCGGGCACATCCCCAGTGGGAGATGTGCAGGAGGCAGCTGATCGATGTTTCTCTCTCATCGATGTTTCTAACTCTCTATCTCTCTCCCTTCCTCTCTGTAAAAAATCAATAAAATATATTTTTAAAAAAATAAAATAAAAAAATAAAAAAGGAAGAAAAGACCATCCAGAATCCTATCACCCAAAGAGAATCACTAATACAGCTAAATATAAGGTCGCACTGCACATTATAGTATTCCCTTTCTCACCACACACACAATCATTTACTTAACTTTAAAAAATATGCACTAAGCAATGCATGGGGCCAAAAAGCAGCTGCCTCCTGGGGTCTGGCCAAGAGGTCAAGAGCAGCTTCAGCGTCCCTCCACCACAGGAAGCAAGCTCAGTTGCAAGAGTTGGGTTGAACCACTGTGCAGAGCACTTCAGCTCAGGTCAGCCATCTCTTGGATTCAGCACCTAAATGCAACTATGTTTGGTGCATCGTCTCTGGGAGTAAGTGCCAAGTCACATCCCCCTACTGCAGCTGCAACTCATCAATCAGGGGTTTCACAAAGAATGTTTTTGAAAACCAGGTACAAGCTGTCCAGCAAACAGTCCACACTTATCTCAGCTTGCTACATTCTAGGGAGCAAATACGCTTCGTGTTGCTTTTTCTTTGCTTTTTAAACATAGCTTTGAGACACAATTCACAGGCTGCACAATTTATCCATTTAAAATATACAATTGACTGGGTTTTAGTATATTCACAGGCTTGTGCAACTATCACCACAATCTAATTTTACAACATTTCATTCTCCCTAAAAGAAACCTGGTCCCATTAGCAGTCACTCCCCATTTCCTCCCAAACCTCCCAATAATCACTAACCTACTTCGTATCCCTAATGGATTTGCCTGTTCTGGACATTTCACATAAACAAATCAAATCATACAATGTGTCTTTTTATGTTTGGCTTCTTTCACTTACCATAATATTTTTAAGGTTCCTCCATGTTGTAGGGTGAATCACACTTCATTTCTTTTTATTGCCAAATAATATTCCACTGTAGCATAGACCACAATTTACTTATCCATTCGTCACTTGGTGAACCCTTGGTCGTTTCCACTTTTTGGCTATTATGAATAATGTTGCTATGACCATTTTTTGTGCACCTTTTTGAGTGAATAAGTGTTTTCATTTCTCTTGTGCACAAACCTAGGAGTGGATAGTTCTGTGTTTAAGCTTTTTGAGGAACTGTTAAACTGTTTTTCCAAAGTGGCTGCACCGTTGTACATTTCTACCAGCTATGTTTAAGGGGATGAGTTTCTCCATGTCCTTGCCAACACTTTTTACTGTTTTTGTTTTTTTTTAATCTATCTTTATTTTTGAAAGCATTACAGATGTTCCCCTTTTCCCCCATTGCCCCCCCTCCAACCCTTTCCTCAGGCATCAGGCCTCTAGTATGTATATAAGTTATTTGTTTAGCCCAGCCTGCTGATGTAGCTCAGCGATTTAGCGTTGACCCAGGAACCAAGAGACTACTGGTTCGATTCTTGGTCAGGACAGGGCACATGCCTGGGTTGTGGGCTCAATCTCCTGTGGGAGGCGTGCAGGAGGAAGCCAATTGATGATGTTGCTCTCTCATTGAAGTTTCTATCTCTCTAACCCTCTCTCTCTAAAAAAGTCAATAAAGCCCTAACCGGTTTGGCTCAGCGGATAGAGCGTCGGCCTGTGGACTGAAGGGTCCCAGATTCAATTCCGGTCAAGGGCATGTACCTTGGTTGCGAGCACATCCCCAGTGGGGAGTGTGCAGGAGGCAGCTGATCGGTGTTTCTCTCTCATCGATGTTTCTAACTCTCTATCCCTCTCCCTTCCTCTCTGTAAAAAATCAATAAAATATATATTTTTTAAAGTCAATAAAACATATTTTTAAAAAATAAGTTATTTGCTTAATCTCTTCCTGCCCTGTTTTTGTCTTTTTTTTTAATTTTAGCCCATATTGTGGGTATGAAGTAGTATCTTGTGCTTTTTATTTGCACTTCTCTCTTCATGTGCTTGTTGGTGACAGGGTTTAGGACACCCTACCCCAGTTTACTATTCTTAGCTCATACCCTTTTTATCTTATCACATTTTTCCATAACTCTACTCTTCATCAAACCTAGCATGAAAGCACTCAGGTTTAACTGCTTCTTCAGGTCTTCATTTTCTTATAAAAGCTCCTGTGTAATACAAAACTTATATTAAATAAATTTGTATGCTTTCCTCTTGTTAATTTGTCTCTTGTTACAGGGCCCTCACCCAAGAATTTAAAAGGGTTCAGGGAACTTTTTTTTCCTCCTCTACATTGGTCATTTTTACATTTTCATTGAAGAAATTTCTATTCAAATCTTTTGCCCATTTTCAAATTGGGTCATTTGTCATTTATTATTGTTGTAAGAGTTCTTTATATATTGTAAATACAAGTCCCTTATCAGACATATAATTTCCAAAATTTTTCTTCTCTTCTGTGGGTTATTATTTCACTTTCTTGATAGTATTATTAGCAGCACAGAAGTTTTTTATATTGAAGTTCAGTTTATCTTTTTTTGTCACTTGTGTTTTTGCTATCATATCTAAGAAATCATTGCCTAACCCAGGGTCATGAAGATTTAATGTATTCCTGTACTTTATTCTGAGAGTCCTACAGTGTGAATCCTCCAACTTTATTCAAGATTATTTTGGCTTTTCCAGGTCCCTTGACCTTCCACAATTATCCACTGTTTTTATAAATGTACTGGAGGCCTGGTGCATGAATTTGTGCACGGGTGGGGTCCCTCAGCCTGGCTGGCAGTCAGAGCCAATCAGGGCTGTCTCGCCCAGTCCCAATTGATTGGCCAGCCAGGGGGAGGGACTGCGGGAGGTTGGCTGTGGGAGCACACTGACCACCAGGGGGCAGACACTCAACACAGGAGCTGCTCCCTGTTGGTCAGTGCACTCCTACAGCGAGAGTGCCGCGCAGCTGACCAGTCCCAGTGGCCCACAAGCCCGGTGGCAGCCACTCACTCCCTCAGTAGTCTTGCGGTCAAATCTCTGGACTTGTAAGTCTATTTCTTTCACCAGGTAGGGGAAGTTTTCTGTCATTATTTCTTCAAATAGGTTTTCAATATCTTGCTCTCTCTCTTCTTCTAGCGCCCCCCATAATTCTGATGTTGGTAGGCTTGAAGTTGTCCCAGAGGCTCTTACACTGTCTTCATATTTTTGGATTCTTTTTTCATTTTGCTCTTCCGGTTGAGTGTTTTTTGCTTCTTTGTATTTCAAATCTTTGACTTGATTCTTGCGATCCTCTACTCTACTGTTGAATCTCTGTATATTATTCTTTATTTTAGTCAATGTATGCTTAATTTCTGACTGGTCCTTTTCCATTTTTTTGGAGGTTTCTAGAAGATTCTTGAGTAACCTTATAACTGTGGGTTTGAACTTTATATCCAGTAGTTTGCTTTCTTCCATTTCTTTCATTTGTGACATATTTCTTTGTCTCCACATTTTGGCTGCTTCCCTGTGTTTGTTTCTATGTATTGGGTAGCTGCTAAGTCTCCTGGAGTTGATAGAGTGGCCTTGTGTAGTAGGTGTCCTATAGGGCCCAGTGGCTCAGCCTCCCCAATCACCTGAGGTGGACACTCTTGGTGCACCCCTTTGTGGGCTGTGTGCACAGTCTTGTTGTAATTGAGCCTTGATAGCTGTTGGTATCACTGGGAGGAATTGAAGAACTCCAGGCCAATTGGCTCTGAGGACCAGCAATGTCTATGATGGAAGAGCTGCTGTGCAGGAGACACCCTTATGGGGCAGGACTTGCTTCAGTGGGGATTTGGTGCTCACTGAGTCTGCCCCTTGAGTGTGTAACTTATGGATATGAAGAGTTGTAATCTGGTATGGTCTCACACTGACCACTGGGTAAAATAGCTCTTGGATCTCTAAGGAGGTATAAAGTCAGTCACTGCCTGGGACCACCCAGCAGGAGTTACAGAGAGATCTGCAGATTCCTCCTCTTTATATGGGGTTTGGAAGTGCCCATATGAGGCCCAGCTGTGAAGCAAGGCAGGCTGCTGCAGTGCTGGCCTTTGCCTTCTTTTGATACCTTTGGGGCTCCCTGACCCAGCTGCTGTTTGATAGGTTTTAGGCTGAGAAAGGACCGGCCATTCATATGCAAATGCAGCTGTGCATAGCTTGGGTGGGGTTGTAAATTGACGGGTGGGGTCTCAGGGAATCTCCAGGGTGGAGCAAACAGCAATAGCTGCCAGTCAGCCTGCACCAGTGGTTCCAGCTCAGGAACAATGACTGTTGCGAGCACCTCCGTCTGGAAGAAAGCTGCCCCCACATTCCTGCCCCAATGCAGACAGTCCAGTTTCTCCCTGTATGTGTCTGGGTCCCCTAAAGTCTCACCCAGCACTGGAGCTCAGAGTAAGTAGGAGCTTGTATCTCCCTCCTGATTAAAAAAAGCGGCACACCTGGGTGCCAGCCCGTTTCGTGCCTCTGCACCTCCGCACCTCCGCACCTCCTACCAGTCTCAATGTGCTTTCTTCTTTACCTCTCTAGTTGTACTTCCATTCAGCCAGCTTTCCTGTGGTTCTGGATGATAGTTGTTCTATATTTTAGTTGTAATTTTGATATGGTTGTGGGAGGCAGCAAGTACAGGTGTTTACCTATGCCGCCATCTTGGTTCTGTCCTTCTTCTTTGAGCAGTTTTAGGTTCACAGAACAATTGAGGAGAAAGTACAGAGTTCTCATATAGCTCCTCATCCCACCAATCCATTTTCTCATGTTAACCTTTATTAATTCAATTCCTCACACGTTTATCTTGCATTCCTGTGGTACAGTCCTTATAATTGACGAGCCAATATAGGTGCATTATTGTCATTAACTAAAGTCCATAGTTTACATTAGGGTTCACTCTTTGGGCTATACATTCTGTGGCTTTTGACAGACACATGTATATACCATTATGGAATTATACAAAATAGTTTCACTACTTTAAAAATTCCCTGTGTCACAATTATTCATCCCTTCCTTCCTCCTCTCAAAACCCTGATATCTTTTTACTGTCTCCATAGTTTATAGCCATTCTAATAGGTTTGTAATAGTATCTTTTTGTTAGTTTAGTTTGCAACTCTGTAGTGACATGATATTGAGCATTTTTTCATGTGCTTATTTGCTATGGGTGTATCTTTTCCACAAGATATATATTCCTTAAATAATATGTGATATTTGTGTCAAGATAAGGAGGAATTGCCTGGCCAGCATGGCTCAGTGGTTGAGTATCGACCTATGAACCAGGAGCTCACGGTTCGACTCCTGGTCAGGGCATGTGCCCAGGTTGTGGGCTCCATCCTCAGTTGGGGGCATGCAGGAGGCAGCCTATCAATGATTCTTTCTCATCATTGATGTTTCTATCTCTCTCTTCCTCTTCCTTCCTCTCTGAAATCAATAAAAATATATTTTTAAAAATAACGAGCGATGGCAGGAGTGGATGGGTGGATAAATGAAACACATTTGACCATGAGTTGATGATTGAAGCCGGGTGGTGTGTACATGGGCGTTTGTTCCACTAGTCGCTTTTCTTTTATATATGTTTGAAAATTGTCATAATTTAAAAGGTTTTATTTTAAATCCACACATGCAGGAACTGTCTTTTCTGTACTTCAGTTAATAAATGTTAATAAATGTAAGACTAAAAGCATCACTCAGGTTTTCTCATTGTTCCTGAATACCATTTTTATTTTTAATTAAACATTTTGAGATAATTGTAGATTCACATGCAGTTGTAAGAAATACCATAGAGACATCCTGTGTACACTTTGCCCAGTTTCCCCATATTGCAAAACTATAGTATAATAGCACAACCAGGATATTGATATTGATACAATCCACTGATCTCATTCAGATTTCTCCAGTTTTACTTGTGCTCATGTGTGTGTGTGTATGTGTTAAGTGCTATACAGTTTTATTGCCTGTATAGGTTCATGTATCCACCACCACTGTCAAGATACTAAACAATTCCAATGCCACAAGCACAAGGATTCCCCATTTTGCCCCTTTATAACCACACTCACATTTCCTCCTCGACCTCACCCTCTAATCCAGCCATGGGCAAACTACGGGCCGCGGGCCGGATCCGGCCCGTTTGAAATGAATAAAACTAAAAAAAAAAAAGACCGTACCCTTTTATGTAATGATGTTTACTTTGAATTTATATTAGTTCACACAAACACTCCATCCATGCTTTTGTTCCGGCCCTCCGGTCCAGTTTAAGAACCCATTGTGGCCCTCGAGTCAAAAAGTTTGCCCACCCCTGCTCTAATCCCTAACTACTGGCAACTACTAAACTTGCCTTGATTTCTAAAATTTTGTCATTTCAAAATGTTATATGAATGGAATCATAAAGTATGTAGGCTTTTGGAATTGGCCTTTTTTCGTTCAACATAATTCCCTACAGATTCATCCAAGTTCTGTGTATAAGTACTCTCTTCCTGTTTATTGTTGAGTAGTATTCCATGGTATGGCTGCAGCACAGTTTAATTATTCACCAGTTGAAAGACATCTGCACTGATTCCAGTTTTGGCTATTACACATAAAGCTGATATGAACATTCATAGATGCATTTTTCATCTATTTTGTTTTGCCACTGTTATAACAATTTCACCACTATCCACTAATCTTAGAAGATTGGGCCGAAACCGGTTTGGCTCGGTGG